AAGTGTTATTTTCATAGTAGCAAGATGGTCGTAGTAAGTTCTAGGTTGCAAAACTACACCTCTTGGCTGTCAGAATAAGGGAAGTTACTGCTCTCTTACTAAACAGCAAGTATGTTTCACTAATGAATTGTCCCTTTTAAGATTACAAAGCATGATGGCTAACAGCCGATCTGCTCAGTGAAATCATGTGCAGAACAACATGTACCCAAAGTCAAGGAAAGTGGAATTGAAATAGATTAGATACAGCTAAGGTGCTTTGTTACTTTCCTAGAACTCAGATAATTAGTGAGTTTGCCTTCTGGAAGTACTGGAAGGCAAGGCTAAAAAACCCTCAGACTATCTGCATTTTTTTCAGTCACAAAGACTCTATCCCTGCGTATTACTTTGTCCTTTTTACATCCTTCTCTGAAGAATATTCTTAACTTTCATATGGGGTACATATAATTTGTATTAATTAAAAACATAATTAAAACTAGAGTTTTTATTGAAGTTTTTCCAGTGATCTTTACAGATATACACACATCTATATAAATATATAGATATCACACTGTCACACTGTCCTCCCATTGTTCGTCGATTTACTCGAGCGGGCCCAGTAACGTCTCCATTTTTTGAGAATTTTTGTTATTGTGTTTGGTATATTGAATACATCACAGGTAGCTTGTCAGGCTTTGCCGTGTGGGTGAGATACTCTCAGTAGCTTTCCGGGCTCTCTGAGAGGGGCAGAGGAATCGAACCCAGCTCGGCTGAGCTGGCTGCGTGCAAGGCAAACGCTCTACTGTTGTGCTATTGTTCCAGCCCATATATAGATATAGACATTCTAAACTATATGTAGACTCTTAAGTTACATACATATATAGATATTTCAGTTCGCACTTAATTGTAATTATCAAGAATATATATTTTAGTTGCTGAAGTGATAGCATAGCAGGTAGGGTGTTTGCCTTGTACACAGCCAACCCTGGTTCAGTTGCCAGCATCCCTTATGGTCCCCCTAGCTCCGCTGGGAGTAATTACTGAATGCATGAGCCAGGAGTAACCCCTGTGCATCTCCAAGTTTACCCAAAAAAAAAAGGAAAAAAAGAATATATTTTTACATTTGTGGTCCTGTTCTTTAAAAGGCAAAATATTATGTAGAACATTGTTTAAAATATTTAATTATTTATTTACATATCTCTAGCTCTCTATTGGCTGATGAGTTTTGAAGTATTACGTTTCAAAATCCCGGGTGGAGTCACAGCATAGCAGGTAAGGCATTTGCCTTCCACTCGCCGACATGGCTGACCTGGGTTCGATTCCTCCACCCCTCTCAGAGAGCCCAGCAAGCTACTGAGTGTACCTTGCCCGCGCTGCAAAGCCTGGCAAGCTCCCCGTGATGTATTCAATATGCCAAAAACAGTACCAACAAGTCTCACAGTTTGTTGTGAGACGTTACTGGTGCCTGCTTGAGCAAATTGATGAACAAAGGGAGGACAGTAGTGCTACAGTGCATTAAGCAAGTATTGGATTTATTGTTTTGATGGGATTTATATGATTTTATATAATATTTTATTGGCACTTTAAAGTTAAGTACATTAGAAAAAAACAAAAGCCAAACGTAGATGAGATGTCCTATTAACTAAACATTGTTTTTACATTTTATTTGGTGTTTTAAAATATACATAATCGTGACTTTTCAAATTATTAAGGACAATTAAATTTCATAGTAAAAGGCATTAATTAAAATCCGAGCTAGTAAAGAACTGTATGTATTTTTTTTCTGTGTGCTTCTCAGTAATGTTGCCTTTAAAAAAAACATTTTAAATATCTCTTCAGTGAATGAAAAATTGAGTTTTAGGTCAGGAACTGTGGTGATATTAGTAATGAGGATTCAAATAAAAGTAAAATATAATAATCCTAAGTAATAGAGGAAAAATATATCATCTCCATTTCCAGGACCACTAACTGAAAGCAGGTTATAATAATTTTATTTTTAAAAGAAGTTTGAGGTGGTATGGTGCCGCCAGCAGGTCAGTCTGTACCTGTGAGGAGAGTGCATCAGCAGCCTGATGGCACCATCAGACTTTCAGATACCCCCAAAATTGCTGCTGTGCCTTTGGCCAGACCCCAAAAACTGGGGCAAAGTTTACCAAAACAGTAAACAGCCAAAAGTTAGGATGTGGGAGACACACCCACAAACCACCTCCGGCTCAGCTATGTAAGTGGAGGCATGGCCTCTCTGGTTCCTTATCAAACTGTTTAATGGCCATGATCCCAGAGACTCAGAAACGAATCTTGGAACCCAAAGGCTTTTGGTAGAAATGCATCCTGTTCCTGCGGTAGGTTACGGGTGCTGGGCCACTCCAGGTGGGAATAGGTTTTGTGCCTTGGCCTGTTCCCCCTAGCGGCCCAGTGACCACCATCCTCCAGAGGCTACTGGACAGTCAGGTTTGGACTTGCAGTGACAAGACACGTGGGGCCTTACCAGACATTGGTGGAACCGGCCCCTTCCTCCCCATCCCAATGAGACCCCAAGTCGCAACCTACAAATGGCCTCTCTGGCTCCTGATCAAGCTTGTTAACAGCCATGATCCCAGAGACTCAGAAATAAATCTCGAAACCCAGCAACTTTTGGCAGAAATGCATCTGGACCGCATACAAGGTGGCTGCCGCCTCAGAGCTTATTGGAAAGCCAGGTATGGGCTGGTGGTGATGGGGCAACTGCAGTCTCATGGGAAGGGCGACGGTACTGGCTCGTCCTTCATGCCCTACTGAGATCACGAGTTGCACCCCACGAGCGGCTCTCCGGCACAGCTATGGCTCCAGAGGCAAAAGGACTTAATCCAGAGCCTGGCAGCTTGTTGCAGAAAAGTGAATGGACCATGCGTTAAACTATGGCACCAAGCCTCCCCGGGAGGGAAAGGGTGTTGCTCCCTTCTGCCCTTCTCCTCCCCCCAGCAGCAAGGTGGTGCCCCCTCAGAGCTCATTGGAAAGCCAGGTATGGCCCAGCGGTGACAGGGCAACTGCAGTCTCATGGGAAGGGGGACAGTACCGGCTCGTCCTTCATGCCCTACCAAGGTCATGAGTTGCCTCCCACGTGCGGCTCTCTGGCATGGCCATGGCTCTAGAGGCAAAAGGAGTTAAGAGCCTGGTAGCTTGCGGCAGAAAAGTGAATAGTCCATGCATTAAACTACGGCGATGTGCCTCCCTGGGAAGGAAAGGGTGTTGCTCCCTTCTGCCTTTCCCGCCCCTAGCAGCAAGGTGGCTGCCGTCTCAGAGCTTATAGGAAAGCCAGGTATGAGCCGACGGTATCAGGGCAACTGCAGTCTCATGGGAAGGGGAGCGGTACTGGCTCATCCTTCACGCCCTACCGAGGTCACCATTGCCCCCCACGAGCGGTTCTCTGGCACAGCCATAACACCAGATGCACAGAAACCAATCTCATAATTATCTCGCTCTTTGCAGAAATCCCAAATCGTGTGGTGGCTATTGCGGCCACACTACATTATATGATCTTATAACCAGCTACAGCAAACAAAGTATTTCACAATGCCTTTTCAGCAATTCTGATTGTTGGGGGGAAATTGTAGACAATAATGGTGCATATTTTGTCAAAATAATAAATGTAATCAATGTAGAGAAGAGTTAAGTAGAAATCATCTGTCTTATAGGCATTGGAAGGGGTGGGAGGAGGGTATATTGGGGTTCTTGGTGGTGAAAAATGAGTACTGGTGAAGGGAAAGGTATGATCATTGTATGACCGAGACTTAAACCTGAAAGCTTTGTAACTTTTCCCACAGTGATTCAATAAACAAATATAAGAAGAATAAATAAATAAATAAGTAAAATTGTGGGAAAAAAAAGTAAGGTGGAGTTCATGCCCAATTCAATCAGCTAATCAGTGGCTGAATTAATAGCAGTACTCCTACATTAAAAAAATTTTTTTAAAAAAATTTAAAAAAGAAGTTTGAATATATTGTTACTCAGGAGTAATTATTGTTTAGGTTTTCAGCAAGTAGTTCTAAAAGTGACATTGGAGGGTGGGTAGTGATTATAGTGTAATTGTGTTAAAATTAAAAAAAAGAGTGTTGTATGAAGTGTGTAAATTTGCCTCCAAGGTTTTAAGAATTTTTTTTTCTAAAGAGAATTATTGATTTTATTTTTTGCACCTTAAATTGAGTTTCCTTATATCTTATTCACCTAATAGGATTATTTTTTAAAAATAGAAGAAACTAATGTTTTTCCTTTCTTTAGAATTAAGTTTTATTTGCTTCCCTAGCATGAGTTAGCATCTTCATCATATCATGTAATAACTATTTCTTCCTGGACTGAGAACATTCCAGATATATTCTTTTGGCAACGTTTAAGTATATAGTATCTTTTATATATTATGTCCATGCATATCTAATACATATCATTATGGAGTGATAGCACAGCGGTAGGGCGTTTGCCTTGCATGCAGCTAACATGGCCAACCCGAGTTCGATTCCTCTGCCCCTCTCGGAGAGCCCAAGAGTATCTCACCTGCACGGCAGAGCCTGGCAAGCTCCCCGTTGCGTATTCGATATGCCAAACACAGTAACAAAGTCTCCAATGGAGACGTTACTGGGCCTGCTCAAGCAAATCGACGAACAACGGGAGAGCCTTTACCTTTACCTATGGACATCATGCTATCCATTAGATTCCTAGAAATGAGTCATTTTCTGACTGAAAGTTTTATCCTTTACCAACATGTTTGTATCCTTTTACACACATCCCCCTCTTCCTCCTAGTCCCAAACACCTTTATACCCAGTTTCTATGAGTTTGGCTCTTTTAGAGTTCACATAAAAGTGACATCAGGGGTCAGGGATGTAGCTCAGTGATAGAGCTCCTCCCTTGCATGTGTGAGTCCTGGGTTCAGTCTGCAAAAGCACCATGCATTTTTAGTGTTCCTCTGTTTGACTTACTTCCCTAAGCATCATGCTCTAAAGTCCAATCCTTGCTGCCTGTGTTGATGTGCATTATTCTCTCCTATTACAGGAAGACACAGATCACAATTATTATACATCTCGGATATATGGTCCATCGGATTCTGCCAGTCGGGATCTATGGGTCAACATAGACCAAATGGAAAAGGACAAAGTGAAGATTCATGGAATACTGTCTAATACTCATCGGCAGGCTGCAGTAAGTACTTGTATATTTTGAGTTTCTAATTTTTTGTTGTGAAAAAAATATTTTTGCTTAAATTGGCATGTTGGTGTTGATTTTTGTGATTATTTCAAGAATATTTAACCCTGCAACTGCATCTTTGATTAATAATTACATTAAATAATGGAAAATAAAGCAAATTATTTCGATAAGTCACAATTAAATAAATTAGGCATGAGCATCTCCTATTATGAGTTGTATATTCAAGTCAATGTTGAGATTAAGCCTGCATAATTTTCAATTTTCTTGCAACCCATGAGTTTAGATAACACTTTTGACAATTACATCAATTTGGTTTCTTTTATCTTATTATGTTTATTACTCTTGGTATTAAAATAATTGAACCAGGGTGGTATGGTGCTGCCAGCAGGTCAGTCTGTACTATGACGCGAGTGCATCAGCAGACTGATGGCACCTTCAGACTTCCAGATACCCCAAAATTGTTGCTGTGCCTTTGGCCAGAACCCAAAATCTTGGGGCAAAGTTTACCAAGAAAGTAAATGGCCAAAAGTTAGGTATGTGGGAGACACACCCACAAACCACATCCAGCGCAGCTATATAATTGGAGGCATGGCCTCTCTGGTTCCTGTTCAAACTGCTTAACAGCCATGATCCTAGAGACAAATAAATCTCAGAACCCAAAGGCTTTTGGCAGAAATGTGTCCTGTTCCTGCAGTTGATTACTGGCTCTGGGCCACTCCAGGTGGGAATAGGTTTTGTGCCTTGGCCTGTTCCCCCTGGCGCCTGATGACTGCCATCCTCCAGAGGCCACTGTACAGTCAGGTTTGGGTCCACAGTGACAAGACACGTGGGGCCTTACAGGATGGGGCTGGAGCCAGCCCTTTCCTCCCTGTACCAATGAGACATCCAGTCGCCACCAATAAACGGCCTCTCTGGCTCCTGATAAAGCCGTTTAATGGCCATGATCCCAGAGACTCAGAAACAAATCGCAGAACCCAGTGACTTCTGGCAGAAATGCGTCCGGACGGCACAGTAGGTTACTGTCGCCGGTCCACCGCAGAGGGGAAAGGGTGCTGTCCCTCCACTTGCTCCCTCTAGGAGGCTCAGTGGTCACCATCCACCAGAGGCTCCTGATCAAGCTGCTTAACAGCCATGATCCAAGAGATTCAGGGATAAATCTCGAAACCCAGCAGGTTTTGGCAGAAATCCCTCCAGATTTAGTTGTTAAAATTTCACAATTTCAAAATCACGCAGCCACCACTGAAACTGTGCGACATCATATATTATTCATAACCAGCAATACAAAACAAATTGTCTACTGTTCCCTTTTCAGCAGATCTGAGTGTTTGGGTAAAATCCCAAATAATAATGGTGGGTCTGGTGTCAAAATATTGATTATAATCTAAGTAGAGAGAGAGTAATGTGGAAATCATCTGCCCCACAGGTAGGGGAAGGGTGTAGGATGGGCTTGTACTAGTTTTTTTGGGGGTGGAGAATGGGCACCAGTGAAGGTATGGGTGTTTCATTGTATGACCAAGACTTAAACCTGAAAGCTTTGTAACTGCTCACACGGTGATTCAATAAATAAAATTATAAAAAATGAAAAAAAAACGTAAGGTGGATTTCATGCCCAAATAAATCAGCTAATCAGTGGCTGAATAAATAGCAGTACTCCTATATTAAAAATAAATAAATCAATAAATAAAAATAAAATAATTGAACCAGAAATATTTGTGAGTCAGAAAACCCATGTATGTAACTATGGATTTAAGTGAAGGACTTTAATATAAAGGAATATAATTCAATCCAGACACTTAAAATATACATTTAATTATGTCTCACCTGTCATTTATCAGCTATGGTTTCTATTATCAAATGATTTAGATATTCTGCAACATAATTTCCACATCTGTACAGTGGAGATGATATGTGGTATTTATACACATATCTAAATATTTTACATGCAAGGCTAACTGCCTATGTAGTTGAGTTGACAATCTTTACAAGAATCACATGATTTATATATTATTACCATCTAGGAATTGCAAATGAGTGATATGACTCATAAACATATCAAATAACTTACCTATGTGTCTCCAGTCAGTTAAGTGGTAAAACTCACATGTTAACAGGAGGGGGTGTGCATGTAAAATTTATCACTATTGGACCTCAACCTTGGCTTCAGTAGTCATTTTTTTTTAAATATATTTAACATTTAAAAGTTACTTAGATTCGCTGTAAGAATAATAGCAATGCTCACATCACTGACAGAGCCATATTTGCTCAGTTTTTTTATGACAATGTGAAAAAATAATGAACTTTAATCTTTAAATTTCTAGTTCCATTATTGATACAACTATAGAATCAAAAGAGGCAAGTCTCAGCAGTGCCGATTTACAACTGTCAAATAATAAAGATTCTGATCAGCAGCCTTAATTGTGTGTGTGAATATATATATATATAATATATATACATATATATATATATATCACTGTATCACTGTCATCCCATTGTTCATCGATTTGCTTGAGCGGGCACCAGTAACATTTCCATTGTGAGACTTATTTTTACTGTGTTTGGCATATCGAATACACCACATGGAGCATGCCAGGCTCTGCCGTGCAGGCAGGCAGGATACTCTTAATAGCTGATTGTAAGTATTATAAAATGAATCTGAGGCATGATTCAAGAAGTGAATGCTGGGCCAGGGAGACAGCTCCAAGGTTGGAACATGTGTTTTGCACACACACACACACACACACACACACATATGTATATATATACTCATTCCTGTATTAGATCAAAATCTAACAGTTAAAGTGGAAATTAATTATCATTCACCATGAAGGTTGATTGAACTTTCTAGATTAAGCCGTGTTTCTTGAAGCAGAGAAACAAAGCAGTTCCTTTCCCTTGTTGAATTCCATCACCCCCTTTCTTTTCTGTTTTCAGAAAACCCCAGGGAAGATGACAGATTCAGACATGATTCCTGTCAGGTTTAGAAAGATCTGAGAAGAAAAAATGGGAAAGATGAGATTAGACTCGGAAATGTCTATCAGGAGTTTATTCATGCGATGGACCTTCTGCTACATGAAGGTGCCTAACAGTACAAAATTCATATTCTAAACATTTGACTGTAGCTGTTTTCCTATGGAGATTCTATAAAGTGGTCCTGATAGTGGACACTTCCACTAATATGTCCAGTGGAGAAAGAAGTTTGTTCAGCTGTTAGCGTGTTGCCTCATTTCATCGTTCACTTACCTCCCCACTATGACTTTCGACTGTTCTCTCAAAACTGAGGCCCTTTACATGAAGTGTATCTCCTACACCCTTTTGGATTAGATTTTGCTTGGTTGCCTTGTAACCTTAGTTCTAGGGTTGTTTCCAGGAAAGTGGTGATGTGATATCCGATCTTTTTTCCTTTTTTATTATGGAGTATGGGGGGTACTCTGCCCAGGGCTTACTCCTGGCTCTCTGCTCAGGAATCACTCCTGACAGGGTTCCAGGGAGCCTATGGGGTGCCAGAGAATGAATCCAGACATGCCATATCTCAGGCAAGTGCCTTAACCCCTGTACTAGTTCTCTGACCTATGAACCATTTTTTCTTAGTCTGAAACCATTTTTTTCTTTCAGCTTTCACCATCTATGTTCACCCACACCCAAATGGGAGGGCCTGAAATTTTGCTTGTAACTCAATCTATGCACTGATTTTAAAAATACATTATCACTGGAGAGACAGTGTATAAGACATTTGCATCTCAGCTGCTGATCCAGTTTCAATTCCTGGAATCCTATATCATCCGCTGAGCATCGTCAGGATAATTTCTGAGTGTAGAACTAGGAGTGACCCCTGAACACTGCCAGGTGTGCCTCCCCCCCAATAGAAAAAAAAGGGAAAATAAAATGCATATCATTGATATAAATCATTATTTTATCTTTGGCAGAAACCACTCTGCCTTTATAACATATTGGGTTCTTGGTTTTCCATAAAAGCATAAGCCTTTATAAGCAAGCCAGTATACATTTCTTAGATTTAGCGATTGGTCCTCTACTCAAATTCCCTTTAACAACCCACAGGCACACCCTTGCATTAATGAGAGTAAAGTTGGTTCTATTACTTAGTTATCCCTTTTTACTCTTGGTTGAAAGAGTTTACCACCTATCCCATTAAAGTAAGTTTTATACTTTAGAAATTATCAATAGCTATGTAGAATATAATTTCTGATAAAAGTTTTTTCTAGCTAAATGTGTTATTTTAAATATTAACTTTAGCTCTTCAAATTGTGGAGGGAATTTGGGGTTTTAGTATTCCTTAGTTGCCCTCCCCTCTTCTTCCAATCCTTACAGATTTCTTTCCTCTCTCCCTATTAGGCCTTCTTAGAGCAGAATCTAGTTGTTAGAAATGTTATTTTGTTGTTGTTATAGTAGTTGTTTTGGCCAGAGAGGTATAATACAGGCAAAAAGATGTTTGCTTTGCTCATAACTAATTCCGGTTTGATCCGCAGTACAACTTCTGAGGACTATCAGAATTGATCCCTGAGCATAGAACCAAGAATAAGCCTCCCCTAAACTGGGGTGGGAGGTATTGTTGTTGTAGGTTAATACTGTAGCCAAAGAACCTTCTCCTCGTCCTGTCCAGGCACCAGGCATCAGTCCTACTCCTCCCCTGCCCAGATCTCACAGGAGACTTGGGGCACATAGAAAATAGCAGGAGTCCTATTATTAATCAGATTTCTACTCTTCCTAATTCTGATTCAAAACTCAGACAACCTGGAGACAGGATCTAATTCAAAATGTGGGGATTTTCTCAAACATTTTCACCACTTGGCATAAGTTCATATATAATTATAAGCATTCGGTTAACAAATTAGACAGGAGAGAGAGGAGTAAGAGAATTGAGGAAGGGATGGAGGGAGGGAGAAGAGAGAAAGTACTGGAAGTCTTCTTTAAAAATTTTAATCAGAGTTTCAAATACCTATATTTTCCTTATTTGGATTTAAATTTTGTCATTTAAA